CAAACGGGGGGTGCCGCTGCCCTGCCTGCGCCTCCTGGGCCTGAACCCTGCGAGAGCCAAACCAGGCCTGGACGGCAAGGCTGCCACATGGAGCGAGGCAAGCAGAGGCCTGGAGGACGAGCCTCCGTCCGGGACCTGCCGAGCACGTCCTTAACCGCGCCCAGAGCCCCTGGCACGCAGGTCCACCCTGCGCCTCCCCCTTTGCCCTAGTGCAGAGCCCCCAGCCCCCAGCCGAGCCTTCTAAAGCCACGAGCACAATAGCGTGCGTCCTCGGCCAGCCCTCTGGCGCTGCGCTGTCCTGGGCACCTCGGGGACAGCCTTACCTGTTATTAGCTGTGAAGCTGGGCGCCAGGACCACGGTGCCTTCTTTCCTGCGTGGGCCCCCTGCTGGCTCAAGGGTGCTGGAGCGCCCAGGGTCGGACGGCAAGGCCAGGCCTCTGGGCTGGTCACCCTGCTAGTCACACGGGCGCCCCTCAGCCTGTGACCTGCAGGCACTACCCTGCCCACAGTGTCACCCACAGACCGGGGAACCCCCACTTCCCACATGCCAGACAGATATGACGACCCGGAGAAGCCCACAGCCACGCCTCCCCCCACATGGCCTCTGCCAAGGCGAGAACAAAGAAGGGACCGTGACAGGCCTGCCACGGCGCCTCACCGGGACATCCCACGTGGCCTCTTGCTCGCTGGACGCCTCGCTCAGGCTAGTCGCCATCCTCCTCCTGCCGCCAGGGCTGTCCTCAGAGAGCAGCAGCAGGCTGGGGGGCTCCGCTGGCCTGTGTCCAAGAGGGAGGGCCACACGGGATGGGCCAGTGGCCAAGGAGCCACCCCGGGGCACAAAGGGCCGCATCCTTTGGGGAGGCTCCCGGCCCGTGGCACCCAGCTGCGCCAGCAGGGGCTCCGTGAGCAGGAGCATGGCCAGGGACCATGCACTTGAGCCACCTCAGCCGAGGGCCGTGGCTGCCACTGCTGCCCATGCTGCCCTGTGGACGAGGAGCCCCACGGCCTGCAGCCCAGGGCCCAAGTGCCACTCTCCACGTGACCAGGACACGTCTGCACCAAACTCTGAACAGAGCCAGGGCAACGGCCTCTGCCGCCCTGCCCGGGAGGCGCAGCTTCATCACAACACGGCCACCTGCCGGGACGAGACCGTGGCCCGCCAGCACGGCGGAGTGCTCCGTCATAGAAAGGATGGACGCGCTGGCCCAGGCTGGCCACGGTGGGCCTGGGAGCCCCCGTGCGGAACCAGTCACTGTTCTCCGTCAGTGCAGAACAGGCCCTCGGGGACAGGTGGCAGGAGCAGAGGCGGGGCTGGGGCGGTGACTGCTGGCAGGCTCGGGCTCTCTGCCGGGTGAGTGTCCTGAGCTGGCTGCGGGGCGGCTACCCAGCTCCAGGAGCACTGGAAATCACTGGCTTGCACCCTTTAGGTGAGCCGTGCAGCGTGCGCGTTCTCTATCAGAGCCTCTGAGATGTCAGAAACGGGCGGAGCAGGTGGGGAGGTGGGTAAGGCGCTAACCTCCCACGTGGCTGACTGCAAGCTGGGTAGGACGCCAGGTAGGCGTGTATGCAGAATGAGAAGGGGCTGCCGCACGGCCTTCCCCCGGGCCTGATGTCTCACTTCCCCTCTGTCTGTCTCTCCAGCAAGCACACGTGCCCGGTGGCAGAAAACTAAGAAATAAATACATAATAAAACCACTCAGAGCGTAGGGCTCGGCCCCGCCTCGGGGTCTGGGGCAGGTGGACCGGCAGCTCTGGCGTCCTGGTCTGATGTGTCCAGAGACCTGCGTGGGCACCACGTGAGCAATGATAGGAGGAGGAGGTGACAAGACAGCCCACGTGATGGCGAGCAGGGGCACACGTGCAGAGAAACCAGGAAACACACATGGGGCACACGCATGTCACACTGCACACAGCACTCGCACCTCGCAGGCCCGCTTACACCAGCCCAGACCCCACACGGCCACCCGCTGCTCACCTTGTGGACCCCGCACTCCCTGTCCCTGGCCTGTGGGGTGAAGCATGTGCTCGGGAGAAGCTGACTCGCCCCTGCACGGGACCCTGGGCCCAACAAGTGTGACCAGCCCCCAGAACTGCACAGCCGCCCTGGCTCCTCCAGAGCAGGGGCTGGCCCTGACCCAACCATCTAGAGACCCACAGCCCCTGGGGCAGCCACTGGAGGGGTCGTGGCTGCCACCCCACCTGACTCACTCAACACCGTTACTGGGCGGGCAGGCAGCACCTCCCTCCCCTGCTGCGAAGGCCAGGCCAGGCGCTCATGGGGAAGAGGCAGACAGACCCAACTGCCATCTCTGCTGAGGCATGGACTTTGAAACAGAGGGGCAGCGGACAGGCCTCCTGAGCCAAGGCCCAGGCAGGGAACAGTCTGCCTCGGGCGGGTGGTGAGACTACAGACGGGGGCACGGGCTGGCCGAGGTCACTCTAGGCCCCCTGCCCAGCAAGCACCCACAACTGGTGAGGCTGGAAGAAGGGCTGGTGCACAGGGCAGAGAGCAGCCAGAGGTCATCACAGAGGGCAGGGACACCCGAGGGGGGGTCAGAAGTCACTCAAGGGAGCTAAAGGCTACTAAGGTGGGCAAGGACTATTCAGGGGGTCAGAGGTCATCTGAGGCAACAGGCGGTTACCAGAGTAGGCAGGATCTACCTGGGGGGTGGGGGGTCAGAGGTCAGCCGATGGGGCCAGTGGTTATCAGAACAGACAGGGGCTACCCAGGGGCAGAGGTCACTGGAGACAGCTGAGGCTTCCAGGGTTGGTAGGAGCTATCTTAGGGGTCAGAGGTCAGTCAAGGGGGCCAGGATAACCAGAGTGGGTGGGGGCTACCTGGGCGGGCTGCTCCGCGGCCGGCTGACCTGCGTGGCACTGTTAGATCGTCGGAGGTTGTTGATGGCCCGGGGGCCACCCAGCCCCACAGCCTCCTGCAGAAAGGGAGCAAATGCCCAGGTGAGTGGCGC